TTGGATCCTATGGGGTTAAATGCTTAGCCTGTGAGTGGATTATATCCCCAAACAAATGGAGGAAAAAATATGTAATTCTCAGTCATCATTCACTTATGATTCATATCCCTAATAGTTATTTTGACCATACTTTGACCTGCACCTTACACACCTAAAATACTAGACAGTATCTATTACATAAATTCAACTATACACCGCTATTTGAAATAAAGATGTTTTAAAAATAAGTTTACAGGAAAACTGAAAAAGATAAATCAGACTGTAGTTCGCAATGTACTATCAAAACCATGAATCCTTCGGTAAGAATCTCACACACAAGTACCAGAGCTGTGCATTGAGGCTATCAGCACGACCCTCTCTGCAATGTTTTTTCAGACTCGCTGTTTGCGTTAGGGGTGCTAACTTCACACCTCTGGCTGTTTTCAACGGACCATGTGTGCAAGAGAGAACCACGGGTGTCAGAGCTCTCACAGTACAAAAAAAAAAAACCAGGGTGAAAGAGGTGGAATAAACAAGGCTTTGAAGGGCCACATCAAACAGGTGAAAGAGTTTTTTTGCTAAATGTGATTTTTTTTTACGTGTTCAACAGAAATGAGTAATAATAATGAAGATAAGGATGTTGACACTATCAAATGAGATGTAATGGATTTTTGCTGACACAGAATTCAGTGGAGAAAAAGGAGAAAGTAGAACTATGATCTCTTGATCAAACCTGAATCTTTCCTTGTTCCCTGGAAAACATGCAGGCGCTGAAAGATCGACTTCTAGGAAATAATTAGGGGATAATTCTAGGGAAGACAACTTAATACTTTCATATACCATTCAAAGGTTTGGGGACAGTGAAGTTTATTTATTTGTTTTTTCTTTCAACAGGGACACATTAAATTGATCAAAAGTGACAGTAAAGACATTTGTAATTTTACAAAAGATAAACGAATAAATGTTATTTTGAAGTTTCTATTTATCAAAGAATTCTGAAAATTAATCAGTTATGATTTCGGTTATTTAAACCATTTCCATTATTTTTGTTGTTATTTTATTTTTTTTATCTGTATTTTATTTATTTTCAAATTCCTGATGTGCGGTGGGTGAGGGTTGTGGGTGGTAATAGATGTTAGATAAATTTTCTTGCTTGTTGTAACATGTTTTACATGCTACTTAAAAATAATAATAATAATTATATATTTTTTTTATGATTTTATGATTTCTGAAGGATCACGTGACACTGAAGACTGGAGTAATGGTTGCTTGCCCTCACAGGAATTCAATACTAACATACAAAACAGTTTTAATTTTCAATAAAACAGCTTTAAATTACAATAAAATTTGACAATATTATTATTTTGCTGTATTTTTGATCAAATAAAAACTGGGTGAGAATAAGAGACTCCTTTCAAAAACAATAAACATCATAACATTCCACATCATAAATGCATATAAAATCTTTAATAATTATCATACTTCAGCTCAACATGTATTTATTTGAACAAAAATACGGCAAAACAGTAATATTGTGAAATATTACAGTTTAAAATAACTGTTTTAAAAAGACGTTTTTAAAATGTAGTTCATTCCTGTGTTGGCAAAGCTGAATTTTCAGCAGTCATTACTCAAGTCTTCAGTGTCACATGATCCTTCAGAAATCATTCTAATATGCTGATTTGATGCTTAAAGAATATTTCTTATTATTATCAATGTTGACAACAGCTTAATATTTTTGTGAAAACCATGACATTTTTTCAGGATTATTCGATGAATAGAAAGCTTTAAAAAACAGCATTTATTTGAAATGGAAATCTAAATCTTTTGTATTTTAAATATAAATATTTTGTAACATTATAAATGATAAATTTAATGCATCCTTGCTGAATAAAAGTATTAATTTCTTGAAAAAATCTTATCTTCTTCTAAAAAATATAGTGTGTCTAATATGATACAAAACTGCAAATGCATATTTATGAGCTTGGACTGATGTTCGTAGACTGAGCTCAGGTGAATAAAGCTAGCGGAGGATGGTTTATGGTGCTGGACAGACGCTGGGGCCGTGTTAGTGTCTCCTCTGCTGTATACAGCTATGCCTACAGCTGCCTTTCCAGGTTGTAAACTTATCATAGGCCCTCATATCAGTGTGCTTCAGGGCTCGAGACATGCGCAGAAGCTTGCGACAGAGCCCCCAGCCCCCTACCCTCATTAACAGAGCTGCCTAACAACAGACGGCTACGAGGGGTAATACACAAACACACGGATGCTAAAACAACAGAGGACAATACTGCAGTCCTGAAATGAATCTTCTCCTTAAAGCAAAGGCTAATGCATGTCGTATCAGATGTACTGCCCAAATGTGTCTGTACGTGTGCGTAAGCGCCCAGCACAGGTGTTTGTGCCGTGAAGCTGAGGTCACGTTGGGTAAAGCGAGAGTGCTCAGCTGTTTGCTTACATCAGTCAGAGAGCAAAACTCTAATGGGCTGAGCTTTGAAGGGTCTTGCTCTTAATCCAAAAATCATTTTGTTTATTAAAGGGACAGATCACCTAGTAATTAAATTCTGTCATTATTTACTCATCCTCATGTATTTTTTATGATGTTTAAGCTAAAAACGAGTTGTTTAGCAGAATGTCCAAGCTGCTCTTTTCCATACAGTGTAAGTGGATGGTGACCAGGCATTAAGCAACATAAAGCATCATTAAACTACTCCATACAACTTATGCACTTCTGAAACCATTTGTGAGAACAAACTGAGGTTTCAAATTGAAAAAATCTTGCTTGACAGCTTTGGTCACCATTCACTTTCATTGTAAGCGACTTGAGTATTCTGATATGAATCCTTTTACTTTCTACTGAAGTAAGGATTTAAAACACATGAGGGTGAGTAAACAATGACAGAATTTTATTCTTTTACCTCTTTGGGCCAATACTTGGAAATATTTTTAACGTACCTTGCACAAACGCTAAATTATAAAGTGTTTCTTCCTGATATTAGTTCATCCAAAAATAAAAATTATATCATTTACTCACTTTTTTTTATATGCATGCAATTAAAGTCAATAGGCACCAAAACTGTTTGGTTATCAACATTCTTCAAAATATCTTTGTGTTCTGCAGAAGAAAGTAAGTAATACAGGTTTGGATTTACATGAGGGTGACAGAATCTTTATTTTTGGGTGAACTATTCCTTTTAATAACGTGTCAATTTATTTGTTCAAATGAGATTAAACTCACATTCCACCTGAAAACAGCTTTATTTCATTTACAGTAGTGTATTAATTTATAACAGCAGTATATTGCTCCATTGTCAAATGGAGCAATATACTGCTGTTTAAAATCAAAAAATTAGTGCAAAAAATGAATGTTTGTTCTTAAATATAGCAAAACATATCCGGCACAATATAAATAACATATTCAACAACATTACAATCCAAAAAGAAAAAAGATAAAAGAAAGCCACAGTTACAATGACATTGCACAAAATTTCAGGATATTTGGTTATATACATATACTGTCATTTCTTTCTGTGGGGTTGCGGTCCTGTGGTGTTATGTATGTATTGTCAAAGTGCAAGATGCTTTACCTCTACAGAAACACACATACAAAGCACTCTGATCTCCCTAGACACAAAGTTATACTGACCTTAAACAAGTTTCTCTGAATTAACAAAGTCCTTAAAAAAAGGAAACAAAATCCTAACTTCTCAGAAGTTTTGAAATCATATAATACGACGCTACATTTTAAAACTTACATAAAATGGCAGAGAGCAGGATTGACTTAAAGGGATAGTTCCCCCAAAAATGAAAATAATTTACACACCTTTATGTCGTTTCAAACCATGCGGTTTACGTTCATCTAAAAGAAGACATTTAGCAGAATGTCCAAACTGCTCTTTTCCCATTCAACGATCCTTATTCCCGTCTATTTCAAATTGTACAGACAATCTCGGACATTCTTCTAAATATACTCCTTTGTGTTACACATAATAAAGAACGTCAGGTTTGGAACAACATAGTGGTAAATTTTTTTTTTTTTTTTTTTTGGGAGAACTATCCCTTGTTTTGGGATGATCTGTGCTCTCATCAGATAAACCAATTACAAAACCCACCGTTCACTCATCTACCCATCTGAGGTAAGATGCATTAGTAGTGGCCGTTACCAATGACATCACAGCACAACACATACTATCTATATCTGATCAAGCTGTCAAATCTGACAAATAAGCAAAGTTTAGAAAATGTAATATACAATGACATGGTTCACTAACTAAAGACTTACGACAAAATACTAATAAATGTGACTTACAACATATAGGAGCTCATAATAGCCGAGTTACATTGAAGGGCTTGATATTGAAGTGTCCGTGTTACTGATTACCCGTTAATCAGGATTAGTTCTGAGCACCGTTCACCCTTTCGAAAACAAGAGAAATTAGAAAGTGCAGCTTTAATGTCAGCTAGTTTTAGGTATGGCTATAGTCTTTATTAGAAAGACATTTCTCCTGGTTAGTGATATAGACGTGTCATATTAGCAAAGTTTGTACTCCTGTAGAGCTCAAACTCTCGAAGGCTTGTAATACATGACTGTAGAAAACAAACCAAACATGTCCGTTAAATAAAACACTAAATACCTGTTCTTCCTAAATCTCACATTTCATACCAAACACCAGTGCTTCTATGATATGTAATAAATATGTCCATTAGTACGTTAAAACTATATTTCCCCTCTTAAGTCAGAGGTGGTCCTACAAACATCTCTGAAATAGTGTCATATGTTTATATTACATTTGATCAATAAATAAGAAAATAAGTAAAACATATATTATGTTGTCAACATGATCTGACACACTCAGGTGTACATAGTGTAGAATCCAGCCACTGTTTTGTGTGAATTTTCTGCTTCTAAATATCCATGCTCATCTGTGGTGAGACAGGGCAGCATTGCACATTACTACCACCTAGTGTGGCACAGCAGCACTACAATATTTTCTGCCAAAACTACATTTTCTGTAAACATGCGTGGCAGAACCTGTCAAGAGCTACATTCCTAAAGTTGTTCATTCTTTTTTTTTGGTTTAATATATTATTCTTTAATATTTCAAAAAAGAATCGTAAACATAAATTAAATATACATTTAGATATACATTGTACACAAAGTGACGGCAAAATGGCAGAGCAACATTATTTTGCACTTTCAAGCACTGGGGTTTATAGGTTGAGAGTTGTGGAGGCCTAGTGTGTGTGTGAGTGTGTGTTTTTTCTTTTCATCCTTTTTACCCACATTATCTGCAAAATGCTGCAGTGTTCCTCCAGGCAGAGGGAGGGCACTGTGGCCCACGAAACACTTCTCGTCTGATGCTCAAACTGAGCAGTTGCGCCTCTTGGCCACACAGGGCAGGCCGCTGGAGCTAAGCCGGGTCTTTACCCTTTGTCAAAGACTTGTGGAGGAGACGGAAAGAGTAGGAGAGGACGGAGGAGGAAAGTTGAGGAGCTCTAGGACAGCAACTCCCACGCTGCTACGGCGCGTGAACATGCACGACGCCGCCACCCATTTGTTGCTACGAGGGTTGTACTTTTCTATGGAGTTGAGACTAGAGCTGCCATCGTTGCCTCCAACCGCATATAGCCAGCCATCCATGGCGACCAGGTCATGGGTGCTCCTGAAGACCAAAAGAAGGTCCATTAGGAACTGAATGTTTTTTTTTCTTTGCACTTAAAGGGGTAGTTTACCAAAAAAGTAAAAGTATTTTTGTTATTCCAAAGCTGTATGACTTTCTTCTGTGAAACACAAAAGAAAACATTTTGAATAATGTTTAAGCAGTTTTTGATCATACAATGAAAGTCCATGGGGTCCAAAACGAGCCCACTAGACACTACTGACTTTTATTGTATGGACAAAAAAAAAAAAAAACACTTTCCACAATATCTTCTTTTGTGTTCTTCAGAAGAGAGAAAGTCATACAGGTTTGTAACTGCATGAGGGCGAGTACATTTCGGGTGAACTATCCCTTTGACAAACGCTTGAAGGTCACTTTCAAACCTGCGGATGTTCATGGGGGCCACTCCCTCCCAGGTGTTGGTTTTCGGATTATATCGTTCCACTGAATTTAGACAGCTGGTACCATCATTGCCCCCCGCAACATAAAGCATGCCCTCCAATACAGCCACTCCTGCGCTGCTCCTCCTGCTCAGCATGTTGGCAATGGCAGTCCAGGCATTACTCTAAAAATAAAATAACATCTTTAGTAATTTTTTTAACCATGGAGAGAAAACATAAAACACACCCCAGAGATGTTTTTAACATGTCAGAGAGACGCGTGTCACCTACCTGAGGGTCGTACTTCTCTACCGTGGCTAAGTGTGAGGAGCTGTCATACCCACCGACTGCGTACAAACTGCCATCTAATAGAAGAAAAACATAAAACGGGTTCATGTTTGCTGTTCAAAGCAACCACAGAGGACATTTGCAACCATTTCAGCTAGAGGAAGTGCTTGCAGCTGTTCTGATGATAATCCTTTACATTTATTAGTACATTAGCAATATATTTTTACCTAATGTGGCCACTCTAACGTATCTCCTTCTGGTGCTCATGGCAGCGATGGAGGTCCAGGTACTGGTCAGAGGGTCATACCTCTCCGCACTGTAGACAAAATCAAAGAGAGAGAGAAATGTCGTTTAATTTAATATTAAAAACTTTTATTTTTAATACAATCAAATAAAATGTAAATACTATTTATTATTTAATTATAGATAGTTTCACATAAATTTTAGATTTAGACATTTAATGCTTTTTAAAAAAAAATAACTTCTCTATTATTATTTTTTGGCTATTCACATTTGTTTGTCTAGATAGTGTACCTGTTGAGACAAGAAGCCCCATCGTATCCTCCTGCTGCATACAGCAGCCCATGCAGGACCGCCACACCTAAACAGCTCCTCCTTGTTCCCATAGACACCTCAGGTTGCCACACATTGGTTACTGGGTCATACGACTCTACAGTAGCCAAATCAGAGGTGCCATCATACCTGGTTTGGGAAATGCAAAGGAGAGACAAAGATGAACAATAGATCTTTCAGATATGATATTGTATATATTGCGTCTTTATCATGCAAGTAAAGACAAGACCATCATCATTCACAGAAATTCATTAGTCAACACCTGACACATTTCCTAACTAATCTTAGGTAACTTCCTGATTGCTTCAACGGTCATTTTTAAGAAAATAATGAGGCTTTCTGCACATTCTGTTCCTTTTGTTATGTAATAAATCAAATCTGTATGTGTGTCTTTGGTTGCTTCGTCGCATCTTGCTGTTTATTCAGCATCTTGCATTATGGGTGCCATATTTTTGCACCCATAAGACTAAAGTCTCAAATCTATGTCCCCACTGGATGCAACAAATGCCTCGTTTATAATGGGTTTTAACGTTTTTGTCTCATAGCTCCGGCAGGAAAGGGCATCACAATATGGTAAGGGGCGTAACATTTCCGTCACACGCTTGAGGTATTCGGCCAATCACAACGCACTGGATAGCTGGCCAATCAGGTCTTTTCAGACCGATGAGCTTTGTAAAAATCGACGCGTTTCAGAAAGGCGGGGCATAGAGGAGAAACAATGATGTACAGTATGTGGAAAATAATGTGTTTTTTTAACCTTAAACCGCATAAACACATTTCATTACACCAAATACACAAAATAATGTTCTTTTTAACAACATCATATGACCCCTTTAAGTCATTTGCCAAAATAAAAAATGATTAGAAAGTCATAATTATGACAGTTGATTCCTATCATAATGACTGTCATAATTATACTTTTATCTCAATTTAGACATTTAGATTTTTATCATAATTCTGACTTTTTATCTCATAATTTCACATTTTAATGTGATAATTATGACTTTTTGTCATAAATCTCAAGTTTGACCATTTTTATGCTAAAGCAGGTGCGACACTCATATTGATGCCTCAAAACTCAAATGGTCCGCAACACAAGGGTCTCTACCACTTTAGTTTGGTGCTATAAAATGAAAAAACAGTGTCAGATTCAGTTTTTTTTTTAATTGCTCTGACAAACATGAGGCTTTTGGGTCTGCGTACCCTCCCACAGCATAGAGCTTGTTTCCAATAGCAGCCACTCCGACTCGTGCCCGCCGCGTTGACATGGATGCAACCATGTGCCAGCGGTCTGTCCTGGTGTCATAGGCCTCACAGTCTCCATGAATGGCAAAAAGACTGCCCCCACCTTGAAAGACATTTAGCATTTAAATCAACCCAACAACATACAGACATATGTGCATGTGTGTTTTACTTGCTCTTACAGACCTACAGCAAAGAGGACCGGACTGGCTCCCTCACAGCGGCGCGGTCGGGTGCGGCTGTTACTGAGAACACCCCTCTGCTCGGGCATCAAGTGATACTTCAGTGCCTCGATCAGCAGGTCTTTGCACTCGGAGTGGTGACGCACCAGCAGCTCCGTATCCACATTACTCATCAGGAAGTCTCGTGTCAGCAGGGGCAGACGCACACACTTCATCAGCTGAAGACATGGATGGAAAGAGTGAGAAGTAAGATGTGTGTGTAAAAAGGATTAGAGAAGAATACAAAAGGAGGGAATAGAGAAACAAGTATCGATTTGCAGAGACATAATCCTTCATAAGCATTAATCCTGTGATTTACTGTGATGTTGCTAAAAGCGCAGTTTGACGGGAGGAATCACACCCACCCGGGGCACATGCTGTCTCTGTCCATCAATGTCATGCTTAACCCAGCTCAGCACAGCCCTGTACACCTCCTCCTCTGATGGGACATTCAAGTTATCACTAGAGATCAGATCCAGCACCTGTAGAAAAAACAAGAAAGGGTTCATAACTGGTCTTAAAACTAAAGGATATCTGACTGGTATGGTTTCAGATGGACTAATGTGTTTACATAACTAAAAGACAAATTGCTGTTTTAATCTGAATGAAGTGCATTTAAACATCTTATGTAATATATTTTACAGGACAGATGTGCTCAGTCTGAGCACATCGTGTTTTGCACATAATGCAGAACATGATGATTACACTGATTCCCTATTCAGTTGACAATTTATTTAAATATTTAAAAAATTGTTGGAACCTTTATGTTATTGTAAAGTCACATAAATTGAAGGAAGTTGGTGTAATCATAAAAAATAAATGTAAAATAAATATATTTTAAAAATACATAGATAAGCACTACCATTCCAATTTTTGGGGTCGGCAAGATTTTGTAATGCAAAGCTAAATTATCAACAGCCATAATTCTAGTCTTCAGTGTCACATGATCCTTCAAAAATGCTGATTTGGAGCTCAAAATTTAATATTTCTTCTTATTATTAATGTTAAAAACCATTGAGCTGCTTAATATTTTTGTCGAAACCGTGACAATTTTTTCAGCATTTGATGAACAGAAAGTTCCAAAATAACAGCTTTTATCATTTATTTGAAATATAATTTTTTGTAACATTTACTGTCACCTTTGATCAATTTAATGCATCCCTGTGGAATAAAAAGTATTATTTAAAACAAAACATACTGACCCCAAATGTTTGAATGATAGCATAAAAAATAATAATAATCTCTCTCTCTCT